TTTACAGGCGAAAATTGTCATTTTCATTAATTGCAGCCATTCATATTCTGTCCATTTTAGATTAAGCAGAAATGAATCACAACCATTAACTACTAATCACTTACGCAAAGTAATAAGTTACTAATCTCTTAAGTATTTTTAAATTATAAAAAAAAATCGATAAACTATAATGAAATATAATGGGCGCAGAACAAATGGAATTTTATAAAAGTCCTTTTGGTAGTAAACTATAAACTATATTTGAAATAAATATTCTACAGTTTAACGACTTAATTCCCAATTTTAAAGATAATTGACAAACAATTTGCGAAATTAAAATCGAGAATTGCTTAATTTTATTTTTAAAAAAATATAAGAAAGCTCTTTCAATTGTTACAAACTAATTATTTTAAAAGCTTGGTTTTGAGTGAGAAATAGTAGGATTTTTTAAAACATAATTTCTTTTAGTTTTTTAGCGTAAATTGTCTATGAGAAAATGATTCATTCTCAAAATGAACTTAGTATTTACGTAGCATAAACGCTCTTTTATTATGAATTTGGTAAAAGCCTTTTTTTTTTTAAATTGAGACTTATTGCACTCCTAGAAAACTCGTTTATTTTAGTTCTTATAACATTATCTGTCGCTGAATAATCGGTCTGCAACGTGTAATTGATAGTTTGAGGGTCAAAACTGTAGTTACACTAATCACTGATACAGAACCAGTACTTCTTTGCTAATAAGTTAATTTTTTTACTACTGTATTTTTGATAGAGTTTGCTTACCAAATGTTAGAGACCCTTTCATAAAAGACGCGTTTTTCTCATGTTGTTTTCTATAAGAATGGGATAATTGAGTGCCCACACAAGGCCTAATACAAATCAACTGCTGCCAAATTTTTTCTGGACTTCGATATGTTAATAGAGAGGGAGCGTTTATTTTGACCTTTCTTACAGAATGGATTAAGTTAAATACGTTTTATAACGTAACGTAGCGTAAACGTATTTTACTTAACGTATGTTTAAGCAAATGAATTAAGTTAAATAGGTTAATGCTAGACGCCTGCAAAATGTTGAGATTAAATTGATCATAGAACTTTTAGCATTTATTTTTCCTTTCTATGTCTAGATTATTGTAAAATTCATATAACTTGCATATAAAAAATAAGCCAAGGTAATAAATACATACTTGAAACAAAAGTAATTTGTAAAATTTCAACTAAATAAAAATAATTATGCTTTTTACTGAAAATTTAAAAGATATGTTTTCAAATATATTTAATATAATTGTGGTGACTAATATAAATTAGACACCTCAATTAAAATTGAATTTGAAAGTATTTTCTTAATAAATATGTATTTTTTATTTAATAGCCGAAGAGGTAAAAAAATATCCATTTATAGGGACTCTCAAACACTTAAAATTAGTGAAAAAGATTTGTTTGCAGGTGTTTTCCTTATCACGTCTTTTAATATAATTGGAAATTTATTTATTAGCCAAAAGAAGTTAAGATACTCATACTAATCATTATATAAAGGGCAGCATTTAAAATTAAGTAGAGAAGGAATTTCAAGGGCATCGTGCTTCAGATTTTGTTAGATTATGTATTTTATATTTGAATTCATATTTTGTGTTTTTAAGTTCTGATCGTAACATGGCCTACAGATTTGCTGTTCGCCACATTGTTATTACGAAACCCAGCAGTACTTTTAAAGGTATGTGCTGCAATTTACTGCTGATAAGTTACGACACTTTTTATTTTTAATTAGATTTATATATACATGTATAATATTGCATTCTATATATATATATATACAAGGGCGCCGGCAGAATAATATATAAGGGGGTGCAACCCTCTAACAAACTACCCCCCCTACCCCCGAAAAAAATTTAAAATATTCTGCTATTACATTTTGTTTTGTTATTACATATACTTTCATCTGTTCATTTTTTCAAGATACGTTTCTTCATTGTTAGCAAGATATTTAAAAAAAAGTACGAATTTCTTGCACTTAAAAATTTTGCCCAGAGGCGATCGCGCTGGCGCTAGCATAGCTACTGACTTTGAAGCACAAATAACTACAAACAGTAGTTTCGTATACTAACGTGTTTGTGCACGCTTAACATTGGTATTTATTGTGTTGATGAAGTTTTACAGTTGCGAGAAGTCAGCTTGTGTTATACACCTTTGTTAAACTGAATAACTAATAGAAAATATATTATTTACATTTTATTAAATGAAATTTAAAAATATAGCTTAGATATCTGCCAAGTTTGTGAATGCTCAGTGTGCATAAGAAAAGAATCAAAGATGACTCAGAATTCATTGAAAAAGTTAAAAATAGATTTAAACAACAAACAAGACGATTACAATTCTTGTTTGATTAAACAATTTTTTAATTGTTATGTATCAATAATTACTTAATTATTTGTTTTTCCATAAAAATATGTTTAACAAAAAGATTTTATAAATTTTTTTTTTCTGTATCTCTAATTGTTTTTTTTAAAAAAAGCCAGGGGGGTGCAAGTGCACCCCCTTGCACCCCGCTGCCGGCGCCCTTGTATATATATATATATCTAATAATAATAATAATAATGATAATAATAATAATAATAATAATAATAATAATGTGTGGTCATAAATAAAAATGTAAGTGAAGGAAAAAAGACTTTATGCTTCTTGGCCCATTAACGAGGAAAGTGAGTTAAAAAGACATGAAAACGTTTTTGGTTATCTGATAAAATTGAGCAGATAAAGGCTTTTATTATTTTTATTATAAACACATTCAAACATCATCCAATTACCAAACTGCTTTTGATATTTTTTTTATCCCGTCTTTCTTAATAGTTTTTCTTTATAATTTGATATTAAAAAATATCAAATTATAAAGAAAAACTATATTTATTCACTTCAATTTCAATTCACTTTAATTTCAATCCTTATACGTTTCAAACTATTATGTCTTCTGCTCATAATGTGTCTCCTAATATTTCTTTTATTTATTTGAAATATTTGACCAAACTACTTAACGGCATAAGATTAAATTGGTTTTCAGTAAATGGTTCTCTGTTTTTTGGAGAATTTAAAATTTAATTCTTATTTAAAAAATATTTGTTTCTGTTACTTCCCAAATATAAGGAGAGAAAAAGCTATGAGTATACATTTAGTAAAAATGTTTTCGAGTGAAATATGACGTCGGAAAAACTAATTAAATGTCTTTTTTCATAGTTACATTATTACTAAATTTTTGAGTCAAGATTAAACTCTAGTTTTAATGAGCTATTTTGAATATGCAATGTTGCTGAAATAAATTAATATAATTATCTTGGTTTCGAATTTTGTAAATGATTTTAACAATTTCAAAAAGGATTTAAATAAATGATTTAGCAATTTCTCACTGTAATCTTTTTAGACTAGGTTGCTTGTATTCAATGCAGTAAAACCCAGATAATGAGATGTATTCGATTGGCAAAAACAGCTTTGTTTTCCTCATAAAATAAAGTAATAAAGGAGTACGGAGTTTATCATTGTTCGTAATTGTTATAAAAAGTAATAATAGTTAGGGATGACGTTCTCGCATAAGATTATTTTTATTCTAATTTTCAGTTATGACTACTAGTACTTTCAAAAGTCAATTATCAATTAGTGGTGCCTTATCGATTCCATATCGACTCAATTCTTAAGTTACGAAAAAAAATTATAATTTCGAATGATTATATTTCAGTCTTAGACAAATATTAAAAAAAGGTCCCAGGATTTTAATTTGATTGAAACATAGTCAGTTGAATAAATTCAAATGAATTCTAATAAAAAAAATGTGACAAAAGCTTTAAACTTTGAAAAAAATCATCAACTACTACAAAATACATCTAAAAATTTTGCCACTTACTTAAAGAGATATTCAGACTAAAGCATTAAATAACTGGCAACAATCAGTACAATGCAGAAAAAAGAAAGAAAAAAAAAGAAAAGAAATCGACTACTTTGAATAACTTTTGATCTCATGATCAGATTTTCACATTCTAGGACTCAATCTTAATCGTTCAAAGGGGTGACCTCAAATATGCTAATTAGTTAGTGCAGACGAAATTTTAAGTTACAAAATCAGACACAAAACGTTCTTTCTCTGACCAAACATACCATTTTTTCACTACATTCGGATTTCTGATTCCCGAAGTATAGGTGGTAGCCGCAATGTGGTAAATGTGGTAAAATAGTTTGTTTAGGAGAGCGGTCCAAAGTATCAATTCTTAATATTAGCTATATTTTTTGCGTATTTTACCGCATCTCGAGAACTATTTAAGCGAATTGTTCCCACAAATTTATGAATTTTGTTTATTCAAGGGTAGTTCGATTCAAAAAATAATTTTAAGTATAAATTTATTGTTCTTTACTATTTTATTTAATAATAGTAAGGTATATAATTTTAACGAATCTAATTTCACTTGGCAAAATACAATTTTGAGTGAAATTGGTCGAATAGTTCTCGAATAACGAGTTTTTTTATAAATTCGTATGCATTCTATACCTTTTTATACTTTACAATTCAAAATTTTTCGATTATTTATTAAATAAAGTTATAAAAAATAATAAATATTTACTAAAAATATTATTTTTGGCAGAGAAATTTCCTTGGAGAAGCGAATTTTATAATTGTGCGCAAAAGTTTCTGAATTAACTTAAAAAGTTCTTGAGATATGACGAAATACGCAAAAAATAAAATTAACATCTATTTTGTTAGTAGTCCATTTTGAACGTCTAACCTTATCAAATAATAGGGACCACATTTCCCAGATTGCGGCTATGCTCTATGTTTTGGGGTATAGAAATCCAAATCTATCGAAAAAATACTTTTGTTCAGAGAAAATACGTTTTTGTGTCTTATTTCGGAAATTAAAATATTTTCTGCACTAATTAATTACCATACCCTTAAGATTGAGTCCTAGAAATAGTTCAAGTGATTATTAGAGCAAAAGATATTAAGTGTGGTCCTTTATTTCGCACTGGATTAAAACAAGTGCAATATTTTAATATGTTTTATTACATTGAAAACTCACACAGAAAAAGGTTTTATTTTTTAAATACTGAAACTCACTTATCCATAAAAAGTGCTCTAAATATGAATAATAAAAATTATCTTAAATTTTTCACAATCTTTGTAAGAATGTATCAATAAATATAATACAAAATTTTAGCATACAATCTAAAATACATCTTGTTTTTACAATATTTAATGCACAATTTTCAGAACAATATTCATGTTAATTTTTAAGTCATTAAGACTTAAATATTTATAGTGATTAAAGTGGGGTGCAAATTCTCAATTCGGGTGAGAGCATTTTTTTTATCTGAAATTAGTTTTGCTCCTAAAGCTACAGAATTTTCTAAAGGACCTTTTTACTGTATCTTTTTTGTCAAAAAGTACAAGTTTTAAAATCTTATACATAGCAGAGGAATGTTTAAATTTTGCGACTAACTTTTAGGAAAGTTAGGCGTATCAGCAAGATTAAAATTGCATAGAAACCCATCCTCGGAAAAGTCATTCTACGCCACAAGACATGCTTCCCTATTATGAACTGTTTAGACGCATGTGGAGAAACTGATTAAGAAAGCTCCTTTAGCGGCTAATGACAACATTTTCGGGTAACGGTTTTCCAATCCAGCTGCCTTAAACGACCTGCTCTTCAGTGTGGCATTTTCTTGAATTAAAAAAGAAACAGCGTGATTTTTAATTTTTCTTTTAGTTTAGGTAGTAAATTTTAAAAGAAATAAAACCTATAGCCAAGAGGAAAATCTCCAAAATTGCATAGGAACCCATCTCCTTCCGGGCATGGGTTCCTACGCAAACTTAATTCTGATGATGTGCCCTAATTCCCTGAGAAGTTTGTCGCAGCATTTACGTGACATTTTTAAACATGTACATTTTGACAACAAAATAGCCTAAAAATTCCATTTAAAAAAAAACTCTAACTTAGAAAGAAAAACCGATTGCAGTTTTGAAATCAGCGATACGAAAGTATCTAAGAACTGTTAAAAAAACTCACGCGACTGAAGAAAAAAAAAACTGTTCCTCTGTGTAATTGAAACAAAGTCTATTTCAGAGTACGTTGAGCAAGAAACTCCGCTTGCACTTGAGCTAAAACTTCGGGATGTCGAAATAAAGTTAATGCTGTCATGGCCATTGATTTTGCTGCAATAAGTGTTGGTGCTTGAGCTTTGGTGGAATAGGAAGCATCGGCGAACTCTATTGTATGGTTGGCGGCATTTGTTTCTATGTCATACACGGGATGTATCGATGGAACAACATGTGAAACATTACCCATATCTGTTGATCCAGCAGGTATCTCTTTCATGGTATCACATTCCGGTAAACCTGGAAATAAATTCATTTTAATACAAAGTAAAAATATGTTTTTGTCTAGTAATTTTTGATTTGCTCATTTAACTTATATTTAAAAATTGTAAAAATGAAGAAATTATTAATCAAAATATGAAAAATTTATAAATAAAAATAGTATTACGTCTTACATTTCCAAAAATGACACTTTTTACAACAAATAGTTCTTAGAATCATTTCCAGATATTTACAGAGAAATTTTTTTTTTGTAAAATTACCACACTGAATACTAAGGACATTTCTTATAGAAAAAACATAATCCTGGTTAATAAAATCAAAATATATAGTATTTAATGCATACGTTTTGCAATTTCTCTTTTCATAAGCAAATGGTTTACCAGAAATTCTGGTTTTCAGTGATCTTGTTCCTTTTGTCACACATTTAGTAAAAAATACAAAACTGGAAAGTAAATTTAACCGAATGAGTGGTTTTTATGTTCTTGTATCATAATAAAATTAACAAGTTCTACAATAGTTACCAAATTAATGTTTAAAAAATATAATTTACTAAATTATCTGTGGCGTATTAAACATGTTAACTTACAGTTAATCTTAAGAGGAACAATACAGAGAAGCCTGTAAGAAAATGATTTTTTAATTAATTTTATAACGATCGTGATAACACTTAACTTAATATTTTTTTTATCTTATTGTACATATTTTAATTTTCTTTCTATCATGTTTCAAATAATGAAAATTTAAAAAAAAAAATCTCTTTTGCAATACAATGTTTATATTCTATTCTTTAAATTATCCATAACTTGCTGTACTCATAAGTGAAAACAAACATCCAAATTTTATTCCATTTTGGTTCTTTTAAACTAAATGAATGTAGTTTTTGTTGCTCGTAGATTTTTTAAAAATATTTTTTCCCAATCTGGTGGTTTTTTGAAACAAAATTAAAAAAAATTACATAAAGTAATTTACATTTTCATGTATTACTCAAAGTCTGTTAATACAATCTAAAATTCCTATGTGCAACAAAAACTATAGTTATCGTGAACATTTTGTCAAAATTTACATCGGTTGAAACTAGTGCTTGTCTAACCCTTTTCTTGTCTATCTATTCTCATGCGACACCATGTATGTTTTTAGAACAGCAGCTAAAATTCTGCGGTTATCTTAGATTTGAGTATATTCTTTGACTGCTGGGAAAACATTTATTTCTAACTGTTCAAAAACTGTATCAAGCATCATCAAAAATTATTTACAGCTATATCAAGTTTATCAAAAATCATTCCAGCTAAATCTTTATTAAAAATTATAAAATCCATTACAGCTAAAAAAAAGGTTGCAATTTTAACGAATTATATTGAAAGAACAATTAATTATTTTTAATGCATAGTTCAAATAATTATTTTCAATAAAATAGTTAAAATGATAGTATTTAATGAAACTGCTTTGATAGGAATGAGTTAATCCATTATCAATTGAGTACACAAGTTCACTATGTTCATACATGTCGCAATGCGTCCTGCGTCGCAAGCCGCTTTCCATATATTTAGCTGAAACTTTTATATTTTTACCAAAATCGATTCAGTATTTTAGTACGATATTCGTAAAGGGATAAAAAAAAATGCAATAATTTTCTTCTCACATGTTTTTTTTTAATTTTGCAGTGTTGTTACCCATTAAAACGGCTAAATTCTAAAACTTAACACTTTAAGAAAACTTTTATTAAAACGTTAAACGTTTATTAAAACTTTGAAATATAAATTAGTAGATAAAAATATCTATAAGAAATTAAACAAATATTTATTTACCTAATTGTTCTGAAAATTTTCCGAATAGTTTTCCCAGTACAGGATTTGTTATAAGATTTTCGTAGCAATTTTCTTCATCAAATTGTGCAGAGTAAGTGCAACCAGTAGATGTAGCTGCCCCCTGCATGCACTTTTCCACTTTTGCTTTTAGTTCGTAAACTTCGTTCCTTGTTGGAGCTCTGATGTACATTTTTAATTGAGCTTCAGCTGGTATTATATTGGGTGCAGTTCCTCCTTTTGTAATGATTGCTTGAAATAAATTAATTATATGTTAAGAAAAAGCATTAAGCCAGAGGTTGGTTAAAATAAAACATGTCTGGTGGGAACATGGCATCAAAATACGTTTTGTACACTGTTAGAATGTTCATTCTAAATTTACGGTAAAATAACCTCCAGCAATTAGTATAATTCCTATTAATCGTAAAGTTTATACAGTTGCGAAAAATTCTTTAACTTTACGGATTTGAATACGGTTACAACTGGTTTGGCTAAGGAATCGTGAGCACAAAATTTTACGGTTTGTAACCATTTACAACTAGCATGGTTTAAAGTCCATAAAAATAAAATTTAACTGGACATTTGTGTTAGGTTATGTTAATTTTTTGATTAGGTAATGGACTTTGAATTGATTAGCATGATTTTGACAAATGAACCGTACAATGTAAATTAATTAGTTTATCTGGAGGGGACATCTATTCTTGATGGAATGTTCGTATTCCAATCGTCCAGGATCTCCAATTGGCCGATAAGGAGATTGCCAGTCAGAAGTTTAGCCGGTCAAGAGATTGACAGAGTAGCCTTCTTGGCTATATGTACCGAGCGTCAAAGAATAAAGTGACTTCATAAGGTGGGCTTACTTAGCGATTATAAAATTCTGTTTCTTTAACCTTATTAGGTGAAGAGAGTCAATTAATGATTTTTCTCACAGTTAGCAGTTTCTATACAGCATTGTTAACAGTGTTTTGATTGTTTTTGTTGAATATGGTAAAATAACAATTAAAAGAATTGTTATGTAACCATTTTCTCAGAAAATTTTTTAACAAATTGAGCTGTGAAAAAAAAACGACTTTTTTAACATGAATAAAAAAATTTTATTTGATTTTAACTTGGAATACAGTTTAGCTTTGCGCAACTATTTTGGTTTGTAAAGCATCAAATTCGACGGGATATTACATTCAGTTTTTACAGTGTAGAAATGGAGTGGGTGGAACCAGAATACCAGGCAAAATTTGCTCTAACCTTAATACCTCGCCAAGTTGAACTGTAGTATCTATATTTTAAACTTGATCTAGTACGATACATGGTGTGAAATATTAAATGCTTATGCGCATCGTATTTTTTGTAAAACAACTCACTTATTATATGTCAGTTTGAAAATGGCAACGAGAAGAGTTTTTGTGGTTGCCATGGTGATGGATTAGAATGTAAATAGTTTCTTGATTAAGAGTTTTGTTTTTCTGGTGCGGCGATGCTGTAATTTTGCTGTTTAGTTAATAAATCTAACAGTAGAGTTTTAATAATTTGATTCGAAGTCCTTTGAGTTTTATTTGAGGTCAATTTGTATTTTGTATTTTTTGACACATGGGAACTTAATTAATTTTAGCATTATTTTAAGTTTGCAGAAAATTTTGAAGATTTAATAGTTTAAAACATTGATATTTTAGGTAAATGAAGCAATTTTACTGAGATTGTAAAATCATTAACATTTTGTATGAAAACCGCATAGAAATTTAGAATGTTATTAGAAAAATGAATAACGATTAAATAATAAATGTTAAGGTTTTATAGTTAAAATTCAGCATGTTATCAAAAGAAATAAAATCAAAGAAATCCGACAAAGATGCCACAAACAGTTCGGAATTATAAATATTTTCAAAAATATAGTAGTAAGGAAAAAATTGGTAAGGAAACCTTTAGGTTTATACCTATGAATTATCGTCACCTTTAATGTTAGTTTATGAATTTATAAACAAATCACGCTTGTTTTTACGATTTTTAATTTTTTAATTATATTTTTTTAGTTATTTTTCATGTAATATATTTAGAAACTAAAGTAAAAAATTCTTTACTCTATAGTTCAAACATGATTTAGGAAAACAGTACATAAATGATGAAAACTCTACAATTTTGTGAAAATGCACAGTTGCCAGTGAAAAGTTGAAATTTAAATAACTGGAAAGAATTAAAAATGGAATGGAAATATTAAAACAAAAAAAGATCGTGTTTAAAGAAGGAGAAGGTGGTGTTCTTTCTGAAACAGTTTTTATTTTTGAAAAAAAATATTTTTACCTTCAGTTTTCTTATAATTGTGCATTCCAGACATTTTGTTTAATTATCCATTCCGCATATATATTGTCCATTTGTACAATTATCTATTTCACATATGCGTCCAATTTATTTTCAGTTATAGATTTCCCTCACGCATCTGTTCATGTAATTATTCGTTTTAAATACGAGTCTATTTATAAAATTATCCATTTCGCACATGTGTCCTCTTGTACAATTATCCATTTCACACGTGTGTCCATTTGAACAATTATCTGTTTCACATATGCGTCCGTTTTTATTTTAATTATAAGCTCCTCATGCGCATCAATTCGGGTAATTATTAGTTTCAAATACAAATCGGGTAATTATTCGTTTCAAATACAAATCGGGTAATTATTCATAAAATTATCCATTTCACACATGCGTCCATTTGTATAATTATCCATTTCACATATGCGCCCGTTTGGAATATTATCCGTTTGATACATGTACTACACGCTTTTATAATTACCCGTTTCATGAAAATGTCCGCGTGCACAATAATCCGGTTGACAAATGTATGAGTTTGTTTTATTACCCATTTCACATATCGTATCAGTATACTTAAATGAAATATAAAATTACCATGGAGTCTATAAGATGGTTTTATTTGCTGTCTTAGTAATCCGATGCTTTGATAGAAGCAAACTGCTGCATCCAATGCATTTAAGCCTTCCCAAGGAAATGCTGAAGCATGACTTTCTTTTCCTTTAAAATCTATAACACACTGAAAATAAATTAAAGTTTTGAAATCAAGGTAGCTGTACTAGTTGATTTTCTAAAACAAAAATTATAATCTAATATGCTACTTTTATTTTATTTTCATTCGGTTTGCTTTCTTCCACTTTATTTTTTTTTATAGATATTTACTTTTTTTTAAATAAATGACACTTAAAGTACAAGTATTTGTTGCACTATTGCATATAAATTTGCGTTTATAAATATATTGCATTTGTTGTAATATCGCATACCAGAAAACAATATACTTTTATCTGTTTTTAAATACAATTTAAAAATTATAAACTTATTTTAAAAATTAGAAATGTTAAACTTAAAATTTTCAAACTGTGATATAATTTTTTTTTTCTACTTTACTATAGGTGTAATATGTATTTTGCCAAATACTTTATTGCCAAAAATATAATATTGAATCATTATCCTTATAACTTTATAACAAAGAACTTTTATAATTAAAAATGCTGCAATACCAAAGTAAGCTATTTAACTAAGAAAATATAGTTTAAATTGCTTCAACTAGAAAGGAAAATACTTATTTTAGGGCTTGTTTAGTTGTGAATTAAAACATAATCAATAGCTTTTACGTCGACAATGTTATTGATAAAATGCTATAGTTTAAAATTTATTTTTAATTAAAGAAGAATATTATATTAAATTAAAGAAAATTATAGTTAAGTTGTATGTAATGTGTATTTCTTGAGAGGGCAAAGAATAAAGTTTAGAATATTAAATTTGATGAAAATGGGTTTATTTTGGGTAAGTTTTTTTCGCCACTCAATTTTTAGGTAATTTCTGTTGTTATTATTTAAAAAATATTAATTATTTAAAAAGAAAATATTAAAACAAATGTAAAAAGTAAAATAATTTAGCAAGTTTTTATTTGAACTTTTCCTGTGTTTTGAAATAAATTTGCGGTGAAAATGCTACATAAGTGCTATTGCTGCTCGTATCACTATATTAAATATCATAAACAGTGGTTCTTTCCAAAAAATTAATATTTCTTTTGGTGATAATTCAAATGGCTCTTAGAAACATTTTTTTCTTCCTCAAACAAGATTTCTAGAAGTGCATTAAGATTGGTTTAAAAATCGTAGTTATACATTGATTTTAAAAACTTCAAAACATGAAGTTGTTACAATATCTAAGCTGTATAGCTAATGACCAATAAAAACTTGCAAAACAAGGATCGAGTCGTATTCTTTGAAAAGTTTTGATAGTCTGATTATTGATATTATATTTTTTCTGAATCCTTAAGTAACTTTCAGCCTCTTGTGCGTCAAAAGTCTTTTTTACGAATCTTGTGGTGTTTATTTCGTAATAACACCCAACAACAATCGAATTCCTATTTGTACTCTCTCTTTGAAAGCTTTTTACCATTTTTGAGATGTCGTAAAGAAATGAAAATGTGGGTTTACAGTGAGTATCAATTTCAATATTTCGAGGCATTGCGTTTTCTGAGCTAGTGCAAAACTCAATTTTCAAAAATCTTACAGAGAATGAGAACACAACGAACCACGGAATGTTAGCAATTAGCAATGTAACGTACAGGCTACTGAAATTTTAGCAATGTACCGTAAATTGGTAAGGCCTACTGTAATCATATTTTTTCCCCAGCTTTTATACAATTGTACAGACAAATGCCAGTTTCTTATTGGCTTGAATCATAAGCCGTCTCATGACGTCAAGCCTGTCATATTCCGAAACCACGCCTAATTACTTAATGTTGTCACTGAATGGTTGAAAGAAATAATAGAAGAAATAGTGCAAGAGATAAAATGCAACGGATACGCAGTGACTTTTATGTCTGTCCTTGCTATGAAGAAATGCAAAGAGACCAATAATTTTCACGCATCGTTTGACAACGTAAATGATTGTGTACGTTTTGATTTGTTTTTGAAATTTGGAATCTGATATTAAACGAAAATAATTCTCGACCACCCCCGGGTCTTTTAGAGAGGACAGCATTTCTGCGGACTTTTGAATCTTTGACAATTTAAAACTTTCTATTTATTGAAAATTCTGACTCAATAGAAAAAAATGTTTTCGAATTCAGCGCTAAAAATCCCCAGAAACTGAATATTAAAAAAACAAAAAACAACCACCTGGAACTTGTGTGATCATAGTGTTTCAGATTCATTACAGAAGAAAAGTCTTACATTTATCTTGCTAAGAGTTGGTGGCGCGAATATCGTGAATTTCCGAGGATGCACCATCATTGCTACATCAATATCTTTGAAAGCTCCCTTCTTGATCAACTGGACTTTTCCTCCACCTCCCTCTTCGGCCGGTGTTCCAAGAACTACCAACTAAAAGGAAAAAAAAAACACAAAATTAAAGTTAAAAAATAAATAAAAGGCTTTTTTAATTATTGCCTTGAATTGTTTCAAGTTTTATGTCAATGCCTTTTATAGTTAAGGGTGAATTCACATTGAGCTCTGACGTCAACACATCAGTGTACCGTATCGTCTGATGGATTTTAGAATATCTATATTCTGTGCTTGCACAGAGAACGCAATTTACGGAGATGTTTTGACGTTACTGAACTCACTCTCATGCCTTCAACGATGTTTTATTGTTACCTTCGGTGTGATAAAGTTTTTATTTTTATTATTATTTTCCAATGCCCACCTGGTGAATGACCTTTCCTCATACAGGCATCTGAAGGGCAGATTTGTTAGCCACTCTTCTCACAGTTTCCCACAGTAAGGACAAATAGTACAGAGAATGGAAGAACATCTATGCTTTACCCTGGAATCAAACCCAGAACTTTTCTGATGCAAGGCTAGTTCCTCTGACTCCTACACGGGCCGGTAGGTGATAAAGCGATTATAAAATATCAGGTTTGCATCATGAACTTTGGTAATCGTTGAAAAAAGGAATTTGCGAAGAACAAAAAATGGCAAATATTTCAAAACACTTAATTTGAAAACCTGGGTTGGCATACGGAAAGTAATTTATTAATGCTCAAAAATTTAAATTTCAAATATTTGAAGCTATTAATAAGGTCCATTATACAAGTAATATTTTTTACCAAGTGGAGTCGGAACTGACATTTTTTCACAATTAAATGTGAGAATTAAGATTTGGTGTCGTTTTTTCCAAGTTTAAATTCAACTGTCTTTGTTTAAATTTAGAAAAAAAAATAGCAGCCAGAATTTTTAAAATTTTATGTTCCAATTTTTTTTCAATCTTGTTGCCTTTGGATGTTTTATGCAATCTTCATGAATATGTTATTAATGACTTTTATAAGATTATAATGTGTTTAATTTACAAAACGTACATTACTTTGCCAACTATAGTAGGATCAGCCTCCATAACTGCTTTAATACCTATACTTGCAGCAACACCAGCTTCAGATATTAAGTTATGACCACAGCCGTGTCCAATAACTGGCAAAGCATCGTATTCCAACAAAACAGCAACCACAGGCCCTTTATCTAAAATGTGGAGCTTATGAAAAATAAAACTATTTAGAAAAAGTTTAATTTTTTTCTTCAAAATTTAATATTAAATTTTTTTTATCAAATATTAAAGATATTAATGAAAGAGGAAAACAAATTATAGCTACATTAATATTATAAGCTAATAATCATTTTCGTATTGCTTAATTTTCCTTTTGAATACTAATGACTCGTTTAAAACCAAGCCAAATAATTTGAGAGAATATACCGTCGGTGATCTTTTTATTCCGGATAAAGAGCAAAATGCGTGCTTAAGAAAATGGAAACATCTCGAAATACGTGCTTAAGAAAATGGACGCAGCTCAAAATGCTTTCTTAAGAAAACAGACACAGCTCAAAATGCGTGCTTAAGAAAATGGAAGAAGCTCGAAATGCGTGTTTACGGAAATAGATCGAGAATTTCAATCCGTTTTTTAAACCTCTCTGATTAAAGTTAATTTTTTCTGAAGAATAAACTAATGAATTAAAATAAACTAGGAGGCTCCGCCCCCTGCTCGCTAACGCTCGCCAACCCCCGAGAATTGCTACGCAATCCTATGTGGTTCACGCCGTGAACCATGGCTCGCTGCGCTCGCTCGCCAATGAACACAATGTTCTAGCACAAAGACATAGTATATTATCATCAAAGACATAGTATTTTATCATCAAAGACATAGTATTGTACTTATGTAGAAGAATTCTATCAATGTTCTTATTGGCTTTTAAAAAAGTATATTAGCTATTTAGATTGTACATGGTGAAAAAATCAAAACATTAGCTAAATGAGAAACATATTAGCAAAATAAATTATCAAATATTGCAGTTACTCACCTAAATTCAACTAAATGTGTATAATAAATTAGTTAATGCTAGAAATTCTGAAAGTTTTAGAAAAAAATTTTATTATTTAAAAATATAAACTTTAAACCCTAACTTTTCCTTGTGAGATAATAACCCTCAAAAAGTCTTTCATTTTCAAGAACACAAAAATTTGTTTTATCGCCAAATGAAATATTTTTTGGTGATCAGCATTATTGAAATCAATTTCTATATTAATTAACATTTGTGATAAAGTACATAACATTTTAGAACAAAATAAGGATGTTTTACATACAATAAATTAAAATGCATGGCTGTTAGCATTACCCGAGAAATACCACGTGGAGGTCGCCATGCTGCATTTCTAATCGGGGAGTTTTGATTTTGGCAGTTCCCCTTGCCTACTGCCAATAGAAGTTTCAATTAAATTTTTTCCAAAAAACATTTTTTTCTGCAAAGCTCTAAGAAATTAACACTAAGCATTTAGAATTTCTTTGAAAACACAATTATAGATTTGGCATCTTGGAGCAATTACTGAAAGGCTGTCAAATGACTTAACTCTTGACAGGCCAACATAAAGTTGTCCATGACTAAAAACTTGTTTAGTCAATACTAAACTGATTTTATCAAAAGTCTGACCTTGTGACTTATATATAGTCATGGAGAAACCTAGCCTAATTAATTCCTAATTGAGTTTAAATTAAATATTATCATGTTTTTAGGGCATGAATCTGAATTGAACAACCTGATAATGCTCACTCTGGTTATTGCTTCCGTTATTAAAAGCACTATATGTTGAGCCAGTTTAAATTAAATATTATCATATTTTTAGGGCATGAATCTGAATTGAACAACCTGATAATGCTCACTCTGGTTATTGTTTCCGTTATTAAAAGCGCTATATGTTGAGCCACTTCATGTGACATTTGCCATGTGACATTTTTAGCAGCAATCATTGGTCGATTTTCTAACGTTGCCATTCAGGGAGTTGTAATGAGGCTTTTTTTTGGTGCCGTGTAAGAGAAATATATATATATAGATTCTTAATGTAATGTTCTTTTTCTTAGATTGCTTAATACATTTTTTTAAAAATTAGTCTTTTTTGAAAAGGCTTTATATAGCAGTAACTGTTTTTACAAAGCTGTCATGAATCATATAAGTTTAGAATATTCTCATTAAGTTTAAGTTGTTTGAGCGTACGATGCACATGTGTTGTACGTTACACTTTGTAAAAAACATTTTATCTTTTAGAGTTCTGAATACAGTGATATCGTCTGAAAAGTTACATTTGTAATATGCGTAGTTACCTGGACCTCAAAGGTACTTGACCTTTTAATGATTATGCTTCTTTTAAAAAAAAGTAAAAATAATAAGTAAGAAATTCTTCGTTTAGTTGTTGAACTTGGGTTGATTATTGAAAGTCCCATTTTCACTGCGCTCATTTTATTAAATCCTCATTTTAAGCAGTGTTAATTTTAAAAAACAAGCGCTTTGAGCTGTGTTTATTTCCTTATGCACAGGTTTTGAATTGTCCCCAGAATAGAAATTTACCGTCAATCTGTAACTTAACATTATTATTTGAATTTTCTTCAAAGAGCTGAATAAAAATTATTATAGTATGTTATAGAAAAGAGAAATAGCATTTTTCTTGAAATTTAAATTACATTCAACGAAAAATTATCTTCACTTTCTGCATAATTACATGATTTACGAATTATTTTCCTCGAATTATAAATGTTTGAAGCGGACAAATTGTTTTTTTATGTAATTTTAAATTTGTGAACACAATAATAATTTGTAAACATAATAATTAAGCAGATCTTATTTCGGAAAATAAAATGCCTCATCACTGTAATAACTAGATTTAAACACTAATTATTAAATGTAAGACAAAATTGTCGACGAATTTCATTACGTTTTGTTTAAAAAAGTATCTATAAATAAATCTGAAAAAAAAAAAAAAATTAATTCTAAAAAAAAAAAAAAAAAAAAAAAAAAATTAAAANTCTCACTCTCAAAAAAAAAAAAAAAAAGAATTTGTTTCACAAATAAATTTCAATGTTTTTTTTTTCAATGTACTTTGTAATTTTTTGATAGATTTATTGTCTAATAATTCTGAAACTTCTAGAAAAATATTTAAAACTTTGAAAAGTTAATAGTATATTTATAAATGAAATGAATAGTTTTTTCCCTACTAAATCTATTCGCACCCTATTTTCAACCAATTTAAAATTTGTTCATTAAATAATGACTAAAAGTATACTTAAAATTTTGACACTATAATCCCTTTTCTTAAAATATTTAATATTTACTTATTTATATATTTTATATTTCAATATATTTAATGCAAACTTCTATATAATAATAAAGCTTTTTTTTTATGATCATGCTTATATATTATGCATGTTTACATTGAAATGCATAATGTTTTTATGTTAATATTTATCATACATGCTTTATTGTGAAAGTGCTTGATAAAATATACTTAATCTGTGTTTATCTTATATTTTAGGTTGCGGTAAAATTGTCTTTTCTAGTGTCTTATGCCATGAAAGCTTCTTAACTTTTACCTGTTTATTAATGGTCTTAAAGAGAAGTCTTATAAATTAACAAACATAGTCTTAACAAATCTTAATTTAAGTTTGAATAAATTAAAAAAGTAAATTAAAATAGCATAAAAGCCCTGAATAACAATTAAATTTTTTTTTCCGAATGGCAGGCACTGAACTTTATTCATTTTGCCAGAGTTGTTACTCATTTCGCGTTACCCCAGTGGGCACCTGTGAACCAAAGTCACAGAGGCGAGTAACATTGCCCACACCACAAACCCGTTCATAGGGTCGCCACATTCACTCATCACACCCAACAGAGAACAACACAAGAGAGAGAAACATCCATGCCCAGAGCAGGATTCGAACCAGCGGCCATTGGCTTTGCAGTCAGGCGTGCTAACCACTCGGCCACCTGGCCGGCTTAAAATTTAAAATAGTACTAGTAATAATAATAGCAGCAATAATAATTTCGCTTTCAATTAAATATAAGTCAAATAAAAATTGTAATTATTACATGCGATCATAAACAAGTAATTTCATTACACAGTGTATGTGATAGAAAGTCAAGTTTGCTAAGTCATTCCTATAGTTCATTGCTGCATGAAATTAATTTTCATTTAATTCATTAAATAAAATACATAAGTATTTAACTTTTTTTTAAAAATTAAGGTCTTCGAGTGCATTTCAGAAATATCTAGATTAATAAGTAACTATAACTTAAATGTTAAGTTCTCTTCAGCTTTCAGTTCCATTTAGCTTCGAGTAATTTTCAGCATAATTCAAGTTAAAGAAACCTAATCCTCAACCTAATTTTATTAAATGATTAAGCTTTCGGCATTCTTTTCGGTATAACCTAATAAAATTTATTCACCAACCTAATCTTATTAAGTTCCTTTCGACATAACCTAATAAAATTTGTTCACCAACATACTCTTATTAGATGATCAAGTTCCTTCTTTAGACATTACATATTAAAATTTATTTACCATCCTACTCTTATCAAGTGATTAAGTTCCTTTTAATATAACCTAATCAAATTTATTCACAAACCTATTCTCATTAGATGATTAAGTTCCTTTTGACTTAACCTAATAAAAATTATTCACCAACCTAATCTTATTAAATGATTAATTTCCTTTTGACATTAACTAATAAAATTACTTTTCATATTTTGAAAAATTAACAATAAAATTATTTCTTACCTTGTGTCGATACATGTTCTGCTCGAAAAGCTGTTGGTAACAAATAATGTTTTGTAACATTGAAACCATATTTCCGTAAAGTGTCAGTCAAAAAATCATGAGCTTGAACCTCTTCATATTGAAGTTCAGGATTCATCCATATTGTCTCACTGATATTGTGCAAAATTTCTCTTTGTGAATCAATTTTCTCACACACTATTTTTAAATCCATGCCAGCCATCTTAAAGTCTTGTATTTTGAAGAAATTTATTATTTTTATATTGTGTCATGACGCCTACACACAATCTCTAAAATATCAGATTTGATTGTATAAAAACACAATGACGATTAACTTTCAATATATTATAGTATTTTATTTCTATTAATAGATGGAATTTACTGAAATCAGTAAAGTATTGAAAAGAAATTAAATTGCTTTAGATTTTATAAAGGTGAGACTTTGGAATATTAAATTTGAAGCAAAATTTACAATACCAATCATAAAAAGAAATATCTGACACAAAGCTTTTATAAAGAAAGTTATCTTCTCTCTCTAGCTTATCTGAAATAATGATAAAGGTTATTTTAGTCCGCCTCTTTATTCGTTCGTACAATGTAAGATTTAAGCAGCTGTGTTTGGCAATAAATAAATATAAGTATGAATTTTTGCTCCGTCCTAGGGACAATACAAAACAAAGCATATTATTTTTCACTGAAACAAACTAGTTGTTTCCTTCTTATTTTAAAAAAAGATTTGTGATCAGTATAAGAAATGCACAAATAATTGTAGAAATGCAAAAATAACTGATTTTATTAGCGACTTATTTTAATATAAAAACAGATACGGAATGCTGATAGAAAGTACTTATACGTTGATAAAATTTCCGTATAAAAATATACACTTTTTATTTGGTGAAAATTACTCATACCTGATAAAATAGTAGTCAAAAAAAATTTCTTTTTATTATATATTATAGTACCTTTTGTAAGAAACTGTCATAATTTTCTCGCAATAAAATAACAAAAAATTTATAAAAATAATTTATTTTATAATAATTTATGTATACGCTTATTATATTGTTATAGAAAATGAACAATTAGCCTATTTGTAGAAAGTAAATTAAGTTATAGTAACACTGCAGAAATATAATTAATTACTATATAAAAATTTATAATGATTGTTTTACTAATACTAATTTAATCACTCATTTTCTTTTTGTCTTCTCTTAAGAGGTTTTATTTTGTTATTGGGTACATCATTAGTTGTCACAACAAGACTGGAAAGAAAAATTTATTTAGTTCTGTACAATAATACTACATATCAATTGTTGTTATTCATCTTTTTCATCATATTCACCCTTTAGAAGTTTCTGGCACGATATGAAGTAAACAGACGTGAAACAATTTTCACTGAAAGAAATAAGGGGAAAAAATCATTTAAAAACATAAAAATTGCATTAAAATACTTCACATTGTAAAATTAATTGGAAACACAATTGATGTTGAAGCAATTTATTTCTGCCTTTTCTTGTACAATTAGAAACAACAATCATTGCAGCATTTATAACAAGAGAACTTAAATCCTTTTAGAACTGAAAGTTTTTTTTCATAAATTCATCAGCAAAAGTGATAGAGTTACCATTAGCACTTTTTTAATGGAATATTTCAGTGAAATGGATCACTAAACGTTTAAAAGGTAATATTTTAAGCCTTTTATAATTAAATGTTTTACTCATACATTGAGCAGCAGAATAAACATGTTTAAAATGTAATTTTTTAATAATTTTAAAATCAAATGTTTCACTCTTATACTCATTAGTAGATTTAAAAGAGTTCAAATTGTATCCCTTTAAAATTCTATAATCAAAGGTTTCACTAGAATGTTCATCAGAAAACGTAAAAGAGTTTAAAATTATAATCTTTTATGACTTCTGTAATAAAAGTTTCACTCGTATATTCAGCAGCAGAATAAACAAATTTAAAATGTAACCATTTAAGGCTTTTAGAATTTTTTTTTTTACTCTTTTATTCATAAGCAGGCCTTTCAGCCATTAAAAGCTTATATAAAGAACAACAACACCGATTTACCTGCAAAAGTGCTCTTTTCCAGGTTTTAGAATAGCTTGTTTACATGATTCACATATTTGCAAGTTTGCAGCAAAAGCCTCACTGCTGTAGTCCGGTGGGCAACCGATTTCAACCATTTCTTCGGAGTGTACTACTACACTGAAGATAGTCAAAGTAAGAACGACTAAACATAAATTTCTCATTTTCTATTTCTGTAAGAGAAGAGTTGTAAGAAATTATCTTACTTAGAATGTAACCAATAAATGTTCATCGTTAGCAAAGAGCAGAAAAACTATGATTGGAAATTTTTAGATTGAACAAAATTTTATTGTTAAACTTTTTAAAGTTTTATTCGTTGTCAGATTTCAGGAAGTAAAACAAATGATGAGCAGTATTTTTAGAATTTAAAATGTTCAGTTTCTGACTGCATATAAAATTAGAAATATGCTTGGAAATTTTTTCTTTCACTGAAAACTATCTTATTTGAATGGTCGGTAGAATATATTCTATGCGTACAAACGAATGTTAAATTTTCTTATATTTACATAGTACGAAAATCATGAAAAAGTTGAATTCTTGGTTGTTATAAAAATGAATTGTAAGACTAGTTTTTTTTCTATGCTTTAGACAAGTTAGTACTTTTAAAAAATATGTATATATTGCTTATAAACGATTTGAAATTTATATAAAAAAAATCGTTTAAATGAATTTCTTCTGGCTATAAGTCCACAAATAACTTTTGAAATAATTTACACATTGGTGTGAAATTTCCTTCTTCAGATTGCTACATTTGATATTATTATCAATCTACAATATTTCTTCCGTACATTTATTTAAATATTTAAATTGTACTTCAGTAAAATGTTTGCGAAACGTGTTTTTATTTTCTCGGAGTACACCAAAATGAAAATAGCATTTTTGCAAAGTACCCGCGCCATATATTAAAAAAATTAAAAGCAGACAAAAAGATTGAATTATTAGTTAGGTCCAAGCAAAAAACGTCTTAACTTAACACTATTATTTTGATTATACATAAGCAAAGATAAAATATTTGAAAAAAGGACAAATAATGCCGGAGAATTCGGCATTATTTATACTCTATTTGAGTTCTTTATCTTTATTTCATGCCAGCTAAATAAACAACGTTACAAAATAACTAAAATTGCTGTTAATGGATGGAACAGTTATGATTCTTTCAATTCTAATTATTCTTTTTGTTAGATTAGTTGTCAACATATACATGAACATTCCATTCCATATATTGCATAACCTTAAATCTTCATAATAACTGCTTAGAAGTTCCGCAACGCATTTTTTTTATTTTTAAAACCTATGCACGAATGTAAGTTTTTCGTAAGTATTCTTTTTCTGAATATTTTTAAACATTGGGGAGTCATGTGATTAATTATTTATATTTTATGTGTCACTAGCACATCCGAGTATTTGACTTCCCTAAAACAGCAATTTGGGGGTCAATTTTACTTTCATAAAAAATTGATGTGCTGCCTAAGTAAGTTATTCTTTAATTGTTGAATATTGTTAAGAATTCATTACATAAGGAATGAAAGATTGTTTTGTTATTTTTTTTATTAATTTAATGACATTATTACAATATCGCGTAATATTGCATTGAAGATTATTCTTTCTCAGGAGTGCAAGTCATACGAAAATAAACAAGAGATACTTATGTAAATACTATGCATTTGTACACAATAGGTTTTAAAATGTGGAAGTTTCATCATTAGTTAGACATTTCGCTGGTTCAAAACTAAACCGACACTTCTGCACTCACTTCTCATTCAAATAACATGAGAAGTGAATGCAGAAGTGTCGTTTTAGTTTTGAACTAGCGATTTGCTCTGACATACAGCAGACCACGTGGCATATCCACATGACGTGAAAGTTACAGCAAAACATCAACAAATTGATTTCTAGTATCTCTTATAGTTATCAGAAGATTTATTCTGTCTTTTTTGATGCTGAAAGGCGTGTTTCTTTTTTTTTATAGGTTGAAATTTATTAATTAGGGGCAATCTAATGCATAAAACACTAACGCTATCTCGTTGCATTTCAACAAGCACAAGAATGAACTCGTTATGCGTAATTAAGAGGAAAAAATATTTCTTGAAAACAATCCAAGCATTGAAGTTAGCAATATTACGTACGTTGATAAAATAAGGGACAACCATTAGCAAGTTGCACATAGTGTTAGCTAATTCCTTAGCATCTTGTCGGTCATTTTGATCGATTGCAATAAGTGACAGTACTTGGCATCTATTCTATGTTGTCGTCTGCAAACGTACTGGCAAGAACACTATTTAGAATTATGGCATTCGTTTTCTTTTTCACCTATACATTGAGTGTTTTGATTCCATTTGCATTACAAAAGATGAATATCATAATGAAACAAAAAGGAAAATAGAATGCAATTTTTTTTGTTTGGACATACGATTCCAATTATGAGGGTATTTTACGAAAAAATTCATTTGAAAGTTTTACTGAGGTAAAAAAAATTACCAGTAGTCCCGCTGTGCTCTAATTTAGGTGTGGTTCCATATTTAATGCACGGAATTTTCTCAGAGTTGTATTTCAGTTGAGGCCGTTTTGTTACTTAAAGTTAAATTTGTGTTGACTGTTATATGCGATAAATTTGTATTTTGGCTTACAAGCAATTACTATATACCAACTTTTTTTTCTTGTTCTGGATTATGACAAGAATAAATATTTATAATCAGGATGTACATGGTTTCTTTCAGATGTAATAACGAATTTGTTATTCAATAAGAGCTAAGCAAAGCTACTTCGAACATCGAATCTCAGATACCATGCAATTTAACAAAAACTATTGCGTGAGATTTTAGGAGAAACACAATTTCTGTTCTACAAATCATCTTAGCAAAGTTCAAAGTCTTGTAATATCAAAAACAGGTATGGAATTTCAACAATTGAACGTTTTACTTACGAGGATGAGAATGACCTCTTTTGGCTGTTTTAAGCATTTCTATGATTTTTTTTGTAATTTTAAAAATCAACATGAACGCATGAAATTTTGATACAGTACATTTAGAAACAATTAAGGAAAAGTTAAAAAAATATAAGTTTCGATACTCACGGTTATTTTCTAAAACGGCATACCAAATGGTAAAAAAATGATCAAATTGACCCCAAAAGCGGTTCTAGTGTTAACTCGGATATTTTATTTTATATGGATGAAGTATAATAATTAATATTACACACATGCTGTTATAGAAACTGTCATGCGCCCACAGTCAGAAAAAAAGCATTAATCATATTCTTTTATCGTAACACATTCTCTTGAAGTGGAAAACATTTACAAAATTAAATTAAATTTATTTAGCGAAGAAAATTCCTATTTTATGACATCCTAATACAACTTTAGATACATTCACAAATTGAAAAAAAGAACTATTTCTCTAGATGTACTGTTATTTTCCTTGACTACTTCCAAATACTGTGAAATTAAAGTGGGCGAATTATACTACATATAGTGTAGATTCTGTATACTCAAAGTTTTTGGCGGACAAAACAGCGAAGGAAGTAGAATATAAGTCTCGAGGATGATTGAAACACTTAAATGTAAAGCAAAAAGGATTTATGTTCAAAATTTAATTATAGAATTTTTGTTATGACTTCGTCAAAGTTACATATTTTGGGGAAATGGAAACTCTTTTAGGATTTTAAAATTAAAATTGCGTGAAATATCGGAGAATTTATAATAACTGATCTACGTAACAGAGATGTCTAATCTGACGTCACTTCACTTATCTGTCGATTGGCAATCCATAAATGATCAATGACTTACAAATAGCAACCAATAGGAATGGAATAATGTGTTTTTTAGAATGTGAATATAAATCATTCAATGGAAATTGTGCTAACGTGATTTGTTAATTTATTCCACTCAGTGATATAGTTCAGCTCTGGCTTGGACATGTCTATTCTGTGTTTAAAATTATTTTATTCTGATGCTTATTCTTTCAAATGCATTTGTAATTAAGCTAAGGAATTTTGTCGAAAACAAAAGTTCTGAATTTAATTTTCAAAAAAGCTATTAAGGAATTGAGATGTTTGGATTTTTCATGACAAATAGTACAAAACTTGCTTAGGAGTTTTCATTTAAATTATAGCAACAGTGATATTAAAACAATAACTAGATCTTGTAAATTAATGCAAACTGTAATTTTTTTAATTAACGAGCAAATTTTAAAAATTATTTTCCAAGCAACAAATTTCTTTTAAAAAAAATAGAAAATATTCGCTAAAATCGCAAAAAAAATTCGATACAAAATTTTGTGAAAGGATCAACTTATTACTAACTCGATAGATCTTCATCTTTACACAGATTTCTTTTTACACGCCTTTCATACAATTTAATCGATTTTATATTCTATGTTTCAACAAGTCAATTGCGTTTTGTAACAGAAATTTGGTCTAAAATTGCTAAGCTATTTACGCACATTACATAGACATAATAAATAAGACTATTTATATCACAATCCTTATCAGATAATCCAAATTTCTCTAGTGGTAAATCACAGCACCTACTTACTTTTTGCCGATGAAGCTGAGACTTCAGAAATGTAAGAATGTCTCTCCGTAATCCACTCTCTAATATCCAATATTTATGTCAAATGGCACACGTTTGCAGTTGTCAGATAAAGTAATTGAATACTATTCAAAATTGCATTCGTTAAAAAAACATCTGATGTAGAGTAGTTGCTTTCCATTGTTAACCGGTAGCATCTGTGGTGACAGATATTTTTGAATTTCGATTCAAATTTTCAATAATTATTCTAAAATAGTTCATTTTTTATATTTCCCATTATGCAATTGTCTATTTGAGTCATACGTTATTTCATTAAAATATTGACAAGGAATGTAATAAATTGCCATTTGTCAATTGGGCTGAAATTTGACAAATAAACGGAACAAAAGAAAAGGGAATAATATGTGAATATTATTATGTTATTTAATGGGCAAAATTCATGTAATATTTTTTTAAATAATATTCAGTATATGTTGAAATATTAATAAGAAATTTTTAGCGTGGAAAATAAGTTAGAAATCAGCATTCAGGAATGACTTATAATTCTACAATACTGCAAAAGCGGTCTGAACGGTGTTAAGCTTAAAAATTTTTAATGCTACAATTAGTCTTTAATAAAAATTATAAGGCACAGTTAGTAGTTACAATGCACAGTTAGTAGTTACTCGTTTCTTAAAAGGTCTGGTTTCTTAGGACAAGCGCCTTATTTGGGCGTCAGCGTTGGCGTCAACGTCCCGCTGACGCCAACGAAATACTGGTTTGTTAGCTTAAGGCCTGGTTTCTTAGAACTAGCGCCTTATCTGGGCGTCAGTGAAAAATTGACGTAGAGCTGACGCCAAAAAATACTTTTTTGTAAGCTCAGCGTGAGCAGTCGGTCCAACGCAGACATTATCTCTCATTGCGCATGCGTTAATAACGTAAACAAATATTTATTTCGAATTTGTATTGATTTTTTTATTGTCGACCAGAGTTTTAGAGAACAAATAATGACTTTGTTCAAGAAAAAACACATTGTAGCTGAGCTAAATGAAGAGTGCTATGTTTAATGAAGAAGCTATGTTTAATGTCAAAATCAAAATCTTGACTGATTTCAATGTGCTGTTGGATGTTGTCCGCCATTGCTTCTGTGGTTAACGTCACGTTGTAATCCAACTGCAGTTGAGGTGGACTGCAATTGTAGTTCAAGATGAGCGTTCGATGACGTATACTATCAAACTCACAAATGGACCAATCAGAGGTTAGCGCTGATTTCCAGCTGACGGCGCCCTGTCCTAAGAAACCAGGCCTCCAAATTCTAATTTCTTTGCTGGTTTGATTGATTTGTAGGCTGTCCCTACCTTGACAAAAAACATCCCTGAATATCTTGCTTGAACCACTCAGGACGACTTTAGAAACAAGATAATATTATAATAGTTCTAGTTGATTAGCGCGAAAGTGACATTAGACGGATTATGGCTTAGAGTCCTTTTGACAATGCACTGTTAAGAAAATTCTATGTGTTTCTGCAGAAAAAGTGGCTAACACCGTCGCAGTTGTAAATTTACAAAAATGCAAGTACAAAATTGTTCTTTTTGAATATGAAACCCTCATAATTTCTAAACAATTAGTCTGATTGTCTCGAAATTGGTCTCTTTATTTTAGCAGGAAAATCAGAAACAATACATTACTTGCCTATAATAAACAATTTTTACCCCAAATGAATTCTATTTACCCTCTAAAAAAGTGAAGCATACTGCAGAGAGTTAGGAGAAGTTGTTTACAGTGACAGAAGCCATTGCTTATAATGACATTACAAAGTGCTCTGTGAAAAAAAAAACATGAGTTCTTATTTTTTCGAAAAACACAATTTTTTTTGTTACAATTATTGGACTACTTTTACTTGTAATACATACACTCTATAACAAAAAAATCGACACACCAAGAAGCAATCATCCGATTGCTTTGAAATTTCGTATGCATGAATGTTTTGAACAGATATGGCTGGAATGATGCCGACTGGGGACGTATAGTTTTTAGCGACGAATCCCGCTTCCAACTGTGTTCTGACGATCATCAAAGACGTGTTTGGAGACACATAGGGCAGAGGGGGATCCTGCCATCACTATTGCACGCCACACCGGCCCTCAACAAGGCATTATGGTCTGGGATGCCATTTCCTTTGACAGTCGGACCCCTTTGGTCGTCATTAGAGGTACACTTACCGCACAGCGGTACGTCGACGACATCCTAAGACCTGTTTTCCTACCGTTCCTTTTGCAGCGCACTGGGCTGGTTTTTCAGCAGGACAATGCCAGACCACATACGGCACGTGTTGCTATGAACTGTCTGCAAGCTCGTTAAACTCTTCCTTGGTCTGCCATATCACCAGATCTCTCTCCCAGCGAGCATGTCTGGGATATGATTGGAAGGCGATTGCATCTGGCACGGAATGTTGATGACCTCGTTCGACAATTGGATCGAATTTGGCAGGAAATACCGAAAGAGACCATCCGGGAGCTTTATCGGTCTATGCCACGCCGTGTGGCAACTTGTATCCAGGCTAGAGGCGGGTCAACACCTTATTGAACTTGTTACTGCAACTCTGCAATAAATTATTCAATTGTTCTGAAATTTTAATCATTTACTATTCTGTACATTGTCTTCATATCCACCAATTTTCTCTTCAATCGGACAACTCCTTCTTGGTGCGTTGATTTTTTTGTTATAGAGTGTATTTGGACTACATCTAGTTGTAATACTAGGACTACATGTAAGAATTTTGGAAACGAAAAGAAAATATGTGAAATATTTCTGTGAAAAAATATTATAAATATTTGTAAGACGAATGTTGAGCAATTTATTCTGTTAAGAATAGTTTCACCAAATAAAAGATACCAATTTTTCGGCAACCAATATAATGAGCCAAAATATGGTGGAAAGCATTAATTACTTACTTAATTGCAATTTGAATTGGAGGGTAATCATGATGAAAGCAGCGTTAACAGTGTTTTGGGAAAATGTATGTGCACTATTTTTAATGTAAATGGATAACTAATACTTAAATCTGCGGAAATTTTTTAAAAAAAAATATGTTTTTAGTGTAAGAATTTACCGACTTGTATTAAACGTAAATCTACTAAAATTTTTAGAAATTTTTTTAATCTTATTTTTAGCTTCATTCCCTCTGCCTCTTTTACCTTAGAAACTTATTTGGTATTTCTGTAATTTGGAATTACAGTATTTTAAATTAAATAAAACTTGCAATTAAGCTCTAAAAATGGTTTCTTTATATTTTATTTTGATGTCATTGCAACTATTTAATGTTAATCAGTAGAAGAAAAACTAATTCAGTACTAATAACCGCATAGCATGGTATCACTGCATATGACTTTTTTGTCTAAGAAAATTAATGGAAACTTAGAAAAATTAATTTAAATCGGAAAAAAATTAAAAAGCGTTTTGTAATGAAATTCTTTAAAATATTCTCTTTTATATGATAGAAAACAATTAACATTTTTAAAACAAATTGTAATGAAGCTAATTGTTTTTATTTATTTATTAGTTTAATGAAAGTTATTGTTATTTATTCGCTTATTTTTATTTATCTATTGTTTATATTTGTCTCGAGAAAATTATTTCAGAGTTTGTGTTTGTTTAGTATTCTGGCTAAAATATCTCGCCATCACGACCCACACATCCCATTACTGTACTGTAATTATAGTCAATTGGGAACCTAGAGTAACCCAGGTTTTGAAATTTTTTTTTTAAAAAAAAGAGGAATGTTATTCCAAAAAACTAAAACATATCGCTAAAATGTAAAAGTTAAATTCATGTATCATTTAATCCGCTTTTTTAAAAAAAGCTTAATCATCAATATCATTTTGTCATCGTAATCAATTTCCAGCGGATCAAATTCTATAAATAGGTTATTAATGGGTTGCTGCATTGTTTTGCATTTATGTGAGTGGCGTTGTTTTTTTTACCATGCTGACATTACATTTAAATTTCTAAGGCTAAGAAAAGTATCCCTTGTCAACTAATTTGATCAATTGACTGATTTTAAGCCATAATGGTTCAGGGGATAGAACACTCTCCACTCAATGAAGTGAACCTGGTTCCGCACCCGGCTCGCACCGAACACATTGCTGACGTAAAATATTCTCAGTGGTAGACGGATCATTCGTTCCTTGCCGTCAGCTTAACCGAGGTGGTTTTTGTAGTTTTCTTCTCCGTGTAACGCAAATGCGAGTTAGTTACATTAAAAAATCTCCCAGTAAGGAAAATTTCTACCAATACTTGATCTAACTGTTCCCTTTTCTTTTGAATAGGGTTCAAAATTACAAGGCTACAGAGTTGAACACTGATATCGTAAACCCGAAAATTGGATCTGCTTTTTAATGTCTGTTATTAGAATCCAACGATTTTTGCCAAGGTAACTTGATTATTGACAAGCACCAATGTGAACACGGAAATCGGTGTTGCTTTAAATACGTGTTCTACAGCGTTATTTCTCGTTAAATTTTGACATGGTGAGTTTATCAAGAATTTCTTCAAGGAGACGAAGAAGTCTTGAAAGTGGTCGTGTAATAGGGCTGCGAGAAGGTTGATTTTCTTTCCGTTACATGGCAAAAAGACTGGGGAGAAATGCGTCCACTGTGCATGATTTTATTTTATTTTATAACCATCGTTGACCAGCTAGACCAAATTTTGGGTGTACGACAACTAAAACTCAACTCTGTAGCCTTGTAATTTTGAACCCAATCTAGAAGACAAGGAAAATCTTGCCTCAAGTATTGGGAGAAACTTTGCCTTCATGGACAACGTTTCGATGGTACTAACCCGTATTTGCGTTGCATGGAGGGGAAAACCACGAAAACCTCCCACAGTTAGCCTGACGTGCTAACCCATGATCCGGATATTTTACATCAGTACAGTGCTCCGTCCATAACTTTAGCGTCATCCACAACCAGCATTAACTATTAACGTTTTAACTAACAGTGCAATAGGCATGGAACTCCATCCCTCAAGATGACATACGGCATATGTATAGCACATGCCCGTTTGCATGCTTGCATTCAAAATTCTGGTGGTCGTAACGGCTGGTTGGTTCAATGTACCTGTATTTCCCATTTGAAATGGTTCTTCTCTTAATCACATTAACCTGTTATTTTGAAACTTTAATCAGTTAAATCTGCCACATAGTCAAATGCATTGCTGAAATTCCATTACTCAACAATAGTTTTTTCTAGGTGTTGGGTAACGCCATATTTACTAACTCCATATTTAGTCAACAGAGTTAAGCATGAAAATGTTTGTTTCTTTATTGTAATGCTGCACAATTCGCTGTTTGTTTCCAACCTTTCTATATGTATTTTTATACTTTTTTTTTACTAAGTCTATATTAAGAGAACGCCGTACCACGAAAAAAAACTTTCATCGAAAATTCTCTTCCATTTTCATTACTGATTCAAAGTTAAAGCAAAGAAAACCTGGAACAAACTATAAAGTTTCAATTCCTGAAGAAAAATTTCAAAATATCAAAATGCAAACAAATTATTGGAATAGAAATACTCCATTGTGTAGTCCTGAATTGATTTCTCATAATTTATTTTAATATTGAAATAAAATTTTTTTTCTGTATTTGAAACTTTATGGTTTACTATTCTTTTTTTCTTTACGTTAAATTTTAAATTAGTTATGAAGGTGGAAGAGGATTTGTGACGAAAACATTCTCTATTGGTATGGCGTCTTCTTAAGACGAATGAAAGAAGTTTTCTTCATATTCAGATGCTTCACTACCTCTTTGATAAGAAATTATTTTTATTTGATAATTGCGAAATGTCTATGTTTGATAACGAAATACAAAACTATGCAGTAGAAACAAAGCTTTTCCATTTCCAGTATATATCCATTTTCATTTTTAATTGCCTGTTACTTAAAACTTATTAATTTTAATTAAAATATTGCTATAATTAAGACTATAATATAATGCATGCACATTAAATAGTAAGAATTTATTTTTAAGCATATTATCAGACAATGAATTAAAAAAACTTTTTGGGAAGCATGATTTTAAATTTTTCAACAATAATAACTAAGCTTTGGATGATTCTTTTGCTTCTTCTTCAATGTGCTGTTTCACAATTTTTTCACATGCAGTGAAGTGAAGAGTTTTGAAGCAATTGACTCTAAAAACAAGAATAATTTATATTAAAGTATTTAATGGAAAATGTAACAGTTCAGAGAGTTTAGAAATATTATCTTCATTAAGAAGTAGCTTAATAAACACAATACCTTAAAAAAGTTTGTCTTATTTTTGAAGAGGGCAGATTAAAAATATTTTCTGTTCAAACATGTGTTTAAGCCGGAAATGTAATACTTTTAAAATTTATCATTTCGTATTTTTTTCCTGCTAAGTTCTTCAATTGATTATAACAATATCATTCGAAATATTTTGCTTGCATAATTTTCGGCAGTGGCGCATATTCCAAAGGTCGTGAGTCCGAATCCCACCGGCTGAAGGCCGCAAAGTGTTACTGGTGCACAGTAAATCTGTAGGGATCACAAAGTAATCCAAGTTACCATAACAAATCAGAACCTCTGAGGGTATTAGATCGGAGATCGTTCTCTGGTTCTGGTCAAAACTATGGTCTGCGAATGAATGAATAGCGAGTAAATGAATGTACTCTGTAAAACGGGTTGTGACATAAGTGTGTTCTAAAGTCGAATTTTTGGCCATACATCGAGCCAATGGTATAAAAAGAAGTGCATTCTTCTGTTTTGGTCGGATGCTATTGGCAAGAGGCGTTAGATAACATCAACAATACATTTCTGAGGATCAATATTCAAGACAAGAAATAGAATTTGTTATATAAAGTCAATATTTACTAACAACGCATTATTGCATTTAAAATTTAACAATAAAGACAAACATTTTTAATTTATTTTTTATCTTTATACACTTTGAAAAGTGGTAAAGTTTTCTAAAATAAGCACTTTCGTGTGGGATATTGTTACTAGATCCTGTTTTTTTGCAGCATCATTGCAAAATGTTTTTTTTTTTTTTTGCTGCTCAAAATAATGATTACCATTAACAATTCAAATTATAGAGCTGTAGGTATAGAGGTTTATTAATAAATGTTGATTCAACATAGTGTGCGAACATAGTGTTGAGGATATCGTAATTACCTGGACGGAATTCTTGCGGAGTGATTATATAGTCGCTATAGTCGAAGCATTCTGAAAATTGCTCTTTTCTTTGTTGCTGAAAGTAGCATATATTACTGTTGATCAGTTACAAAATTCCAAAATAAAATTTAAAATTAGTGCAAAAAATATTTTTGGTTCTTATTTTGTTTCAAATCTTTCTTTAAACACAGGCCAACTAACTAAAAACTAATTTTTGACTTTTTTTCACTAAAGTTTGAATTAAAAGTTCTTGTATGTAGAAAATAATAAGTAAAGATTCCAAACAAAAAGTTGATTTTTTCGATTTTTTGACAACAACTGGTCACAATTTAAAGTAAGTTGCATAAAATTTGTAATTTTACTGAACTGGAAAAAAAATTGTTGAGTGCAACTCAACACCTGAAATGCTGAGTTTGCCCTTACTATAAATGAAGTTGAAAAATACATAGTTTTGTCCAAAATACTTTAAATTTAAGAGTTATAAAGTTTATAAAATTACATCCTGGAAGAAAAATTAAACTCTGAAAGTCAATTAAGTTTTAAATTTTAATATTAGGAGCTCGGAACCTTATTTTAGTACTTCAAGTTATTTAATTATGTATTGTACATATTTATAAGAAAACGGATCCTTTAATTAAAATAAACTTTTGGGATGCAAAAACTACTATATTCTAAATTTGACAAATTTCTTTGTATTCTGTTCCGAACGTCAAGTGTATGTATATATAAAAACAAATAAGAGATAAAAGCACAAAGAAATCAAGGTAAGAAAAAAAAAGGATTTTAAATATAAGAAAAAAAAATTCAAGATAAAACACAAACATATTGCGAGAAGGGAGAAGGATGATATGAAAAATAACTTTTAAAAATAATTTAGGATATTTTCGTGACTAAGTTGCCAGATTACGAATTATGAAATTAAAGCGCAAATAGAAGGTAGTGGGATATATCTCTAAGGTTGTCTGTTTGTTTTGTTTTAAGTTCTTTAAATTTATTTCCTTTTTTCAGTTTTTCTCTTTTCAAACTTAAGACTTAAGGTTATTCAATAAGTGCATTTATAAAATAATTCAAACTCGAACCTGTGACATTTTACTTTCTTTAAGACCAAGTTTTCTCTCGTCGAATATACATACTTTTACTTGAATCTTCAATGTTTCAATATATAATCTTCATCTGACTTACTCTTGTTTCTATTTTTAGGGAAGACAAGGATGTAGAGTTGTTTATGGTATTTCGCAACAAGCCTGCAGAAACTGCTGCTGTACTGACTGTGTGGCAATTTCTCCCACAAGCTTCCATGTTGTCAATATTTATTATTCATATTTTTAATTGGTGCTTTTCAATGAATTCTGCTATTTCTTGCTGTTTATCTAATTTTTGGGTGTGGTATTTTAAATTAAATTACAATTTCCTTAAATATTTCTTTCAGTTTTAACATTAGCGACTTAGTGCTGGTTTTACGCTGTTTAAAATTGTTGGATATTTCCCCAACGACTTCCGAATTTAAATACCATTAAAAAAAATTTTCTAATACAGTGTTTTCTGAACTTTCTTGCCTTTATCAGAGAGATATCAGTGAGATCTGTCATCCAAAATACAATTGAATTGGTACCATGCAGTGATCTAACTTGGCGCTGCCTTCGCTGTTTAACAGCTTTGGCATTGTTAGACATTTTCCTCACTAATTTGAAAACTATTAAATTTTTTTTAATCAGTGAGATCCTTCTTACATTTATTAAAAAGGTTAAAAAGTCCCTCACAACAATAGTGGCATAAGTAAATTTGTCTATGTGCTTAAACCACCACTAGATGTAGAAATTATAAGGACGACATTTGCAAATATATGACTTGATGATTAGTCAAAAAATAGTTGAGACATTTTTACGCCTGTCGAAAAAAATTAATTTCTTTTAAGCAACGTTCCATAATTTTGTTATATTGCTGCGATATATTAATACTCAAAAATATTAATACGTGATATTCGTAATATGTATCTTTGAATTTCAAAGTTTCAATTTCAATTCTATGCTCACCTGCAAGTTCCGGGTACATTTGTATTCGGTATTAAACTGGCACAATGATTGCACACTTTTTCATTTTCTTGAAATAGTATTTCATCGTGTTCAGGTCCACATTCAGGGTCGTCAGGGTTAAGGGATAGTGCCACAACTAGAATCACCATATTTATTAAAGTAATATACAATTTGCTCATATTTAGATCTAAAAAGAGAGATAAATGTAAAATTTAAGAAATCGATGCATATGTAGTAGAAAAATTATTTACTGGCTTCTGTAAGAAAGAGTAAATGACTTGAATGAGCAAAACAAAAGAGTAAGAGACTTCTGTAAAGTAGCAATTCTTAGTATTGAATAAAATATTGTGAATTAGGAAAAATAAATGCTATTGATAATACTGATCAAATAATATTATTTGGGAAGCTTTCAACTTCAGAAATAGTAATCGAAGCACCCAGAATAGTTTGTATAACTGAATAAAACTAATAACTGAATAAGAACAGAATTAAAAATTAGTATAGGAGATTTATTAGTTTGTTAGTTGTTTCAAAAAATTGTAATTACCCCATATATTCTCATTTCAAAGAGAACATATTTGCCACTGATTCAAATTTGTTTACTTTAAGTTGAATTAAAACCTTTCTGCAGCATGAGCAAAGGAAAAAAATATAAATAAATTATTGCTGTTGTTTCTGATACCATTTGCCAATATCAGTAAGCCTACTGGGTCAAACCAAGCAAATTCAAGACAGAGTGTGCGTTCCGTGTTTCTGGGTTGCCTCATCTATGTTTCAGCAACACACGTCACAGCCCGTATATGGAGCGAACCCATTCATAAATCCATTAATTTATCCTCAAATCGCAATTTTGAATTGAGCAAGGGAATGATTAATCTCCAATTTAGTACCATCTGGGTATTGTATTATCATGGGAATATGGAATACCAGTCACCATTTCCTACACTGGGAGACTTCGGCCGGCGGGGATCGAACACATGACATGGGACCAACGCCCTACCAACCAGGCTATTCCGCTCATAAATAAATAAATAAAATAAACTTACAAATTATGACACATTTTAAATGTGTTAAGAAATATCCTGTAGTTTGTACTAAAATGTATCTAAAATTACTAAATTAATTGTATTAAAATTAATGTTAAAACTCTACTAATAATCACACTTCTTAAAACTACGAAGATATTTGGGGTTTTGGATGCTAGTAAGATATTAAATACCAACCAAGTGAGTAAAAAAGTCAACAACCTAAATAAATGTTAATTCAATCATCATATTTTCACGTAATAGAACTCAATATTTCTTGGTCTCAAAGCTAAATAAACTAATTAGTTAATCTGGACTATATTTTACGCTACGAATTCAGACCCAAAAATGCAGTTTCTGTAAATAAATATGCCTTTTTTCGACGGATTTAATCCTTTGCCCTTCGAATATAGATTGCCGTAATCTACATCGAAGAACCATTACATTATGACCACCCTGCTAATAACATGTAGGACCACCCTTAGCCCTCAAAACTGCTAGCACCCGCCGTGGCATTGATTCCACAAAATGATGATAGGTAGTCAGAGGAATCTGGTACCAAGCGCTCACCAACTGGTCCTGCAATTCCTTCACATTGCGACGGGGTAGCGTGGCAACACGAATTTGGCTTTCCAAGTAGGACCACAAATGCTCCATTGGATTAAGGTCAAGTGAATTTGGGGCCAAGACATGACTTGAAAGTCACTGGAATGTTCCTCGAACCAATCCATGACGATTCGACCTTTATAACATGGTGCATTATCCTGTTGGTAAACACCAGCCCCCGCAGGAAAAACTGTTGGGTTAACCTGGTCTGCAACTATATTCAACTAGCTTACAGACGTCAGGGATTGTTCTATGAGGATTATGGGTCCTAACTGCCCCATGAAAACATTGTTCCTGGGCGAGAAACCATGAAAACCTGGACGAGCCCATTGTTATAGATGGAAGGTGGTCATAATGTAATGGCTCTTCGGTGTATAATCCTGAAAACACACTACCTTACAATAATGGAAGAGACATTTTCAATTTTAATAATATTTTTAAACTTCTCATGAAATTCTTATAACTATTTTGTAATTTTAGAAGTGTTTAGGTAAGGCGATTTTTCGTAGTTAGCAATAAAGTTTGAAGCTTTCAGGGGTTTGACAGGCTGACAATAAATGACGAATAAAAAATATTTTTTGAACACTCTATGCTAGAAAATGTAGCAATAAGCTGGTAGCTTGTATTGATCACTTTGGTTACTATTCGCAATAGCTGCTTAAAATTTCGTCAATCTAGATTAAATATTTACGGAGATATGAATACTTTTATAAAAAAAAATTTTTTTAAATTATATTTTTACTCTAACTCTAAAAATGTTTCGTAAATTTAAGCAAAGATTTTGGAGCAACTTAAAATTAATTACAAAATTATTGTTTCAAAATTTGAAAATATTTAAAAATGCTCAATACGTGAGAATTTAAAGTAGTTCTTTTGTACTGCGTATGCGCGGGAAAATAGTTGTAGTAAATCGTGTTTGGCAACTAATGAAAAAAGAACTTGATTTAAATACCCTAGGAGTGGAAAACGTTTAAAGCAATTTCTTAAGTAGTACTTTTACTTTTTTTAAATTAAAGCTCAAAATAATTAAGGGCTTTCAGTAAATTGCATTACGTAGCATTGCAAGTTACACTACCCAATGATAACCAGACAGCAAAGATAAAATTAAATATGTGAAAAATCTCTTATCGTTTTGAACTTACAAAGTACATAATCGTTTAAAGTACAAAAACTACTTAGAAAATTGATTGAAACTTTTTAAGTTTTTGAAATATTTAAATTAAATTTTTTCAGAAGTTGCCAAATAAAATTCACTATGAAATTATGAAAAAATATTTTTAAATTTATTTCGCTCATGTTCAGTACATAAGAATTATTTTAAATACTCATGTCTGGTTCATTTTGTAAAAAAAAATTATAATGAATTTTTTGTAATTAATTTTGTAATCAATTATTTTGTAGTTAATTTTAAAATCCTCCAAAATTTTGTTTAATTTTACTAAATATTTTTAAGCAATAAAAAAAAACATAGGACAATAATACATTATAGAAAAAAAAACATATGACAAACAAATTAGTTTTTTTAAAAATAAAAATATTCATATCTCCATAAATATTTAAGCTAGATTTACGAAAGTTTATGCAGTTATTGCAAATAACAGCCTACGTAATCTATGCGAGTTAAAAGCTTATTGCTTTATTATCTGGCATTTGTTGTTTAAACATATTTGTTTTTTTCCTAATTTATTGCCGTTCGCTAAAACCCCACAAAAGCTCAAACTTTCTTAAAAAGTATGAAAAACTACGTGAACTAAACACTTCAAAAATTACAAAAAAGCCCCGTAAGTATTTCTTGAGAAATTGAAAAAAAAAATCAAAAACTGAAAGTGTTTCTTCCATTATTGTAGGGTAGCGTCCGATAATTAAGGCAAGAGAGCAGTCCAAAGATTGGATCCCTTAATTTTCAATTTTTGAGCATATCACAATAACTTGGAAATTTTTAAGCGATTTAAAATTTTTTAAATAAATTCGTTTATTCCTCGATAATTTCATGTAAAAAAATGCAAGTGATTTCATATTTATCAAAACCATTCAAAGCAATTCTAAATTGTGAGATTCAAATCTGTTATATAATTTAAAAATATGTAAATCTGAATGATAAAATGCAATATTTGACCAATATCAGTCGAATATTTATGTTAAAAGATTAAGAAGTTTATATTTTCAGATTTATATATCTGAACTATTTGAAAAAATTTACTTAACTATAATTCTTCGAAGTTATTGGTCTTAAAGGTATACGAAATCTTTTAAAGTGAATCAAAAAAGTTTTGAGCTTAATTATAAAATTTGTTTGTCCAAAGATAATTTCATGTCAATATTTTTTTAACAATTATTATCTACTCTTTTATTTAATAATTGTCAAAGGAATTTGAATTGTAAAGTCTAGAAATTTTTACACCATTTTATAATATGTAATTTTAAATTACAAAATACTATATTTGAATGAAATGGGTCTAAAAATTCTCAAGATATTTAAATTTATACGATTTTTGAAATCGGGCAATTCAGAAGCTACATCCGATATTTTGAGATTCGTAAATACTTTGAGAAAATGATGAATTTATTAAAAAAAATGACTTCTTTGCCTCTGATTTTGTAGCTTAAGATATCGCGCAAATTATTTGCATATTTCGGGTCAGGTTCTCGAACCATAAAGACTGAGTCCTTACATGAAACTCGCATCATTTGATCAAAAATTATTGTTGACGTTCTCATTTTTTTGCACTCAGGAAAAAAAACAAGTTTACAAATTGAATAGATATTGAGTTTAATATTTCGCCAAGAATTCGATACATATTGAAGTTAAAAACACGCTAATCACAATTTTAGTTAAAAAAAAGTTTCTGGAAAAAGCATCCGAAAGCTTGTAAAAAAGTCGACAGAAAAAAGTTTCAGATAAGCAAAATTTCAAATTAATATTTATTTTCAAATAATATTATGAACTTTCAGTAATTTCACTTTTAAATATTATTTTTTTCTGCTAAAATTTCATAATTCATTGATTGAGGAAATGCTGAAATGCCAAAATCTGCTAAAATACTAAAATATGGGAAATGCTAAAATCTGCCAATTGCTAACTGGACTGAATAAAGGGAATGAGAAAAAAACATACTAAATAAGATTTTCTTTCACAAAATTGGAAAAAAAAAATTATGAAAAATCTCAAATTAAAAATAACTGTAACACGCTGCAAAATTAAAAAGAAAAGATTTATGCAGTTGTCTACTGATATCTAAAATTTTATACGTTTTCATCTGGGGGAAATTTTAAATGAATTTTTAGGTCTATTACTTTGAAAAAATAATTACTATTGCTTAAAGACTTTACAAAAAAATTTCAGTTTAAATCATTATAAGATACCATATTTTCTAAAATAATAGCAATGTACTACCCTACTTTGAAAAAGAAGAAAGATTTCTGATTAAATATACTCGATAAAAAAATTTCTTCGAATGAAAAATATGCAGATTTTTAAAATATTCTTAATGTACAAGAAAATTTCTTAATATTCATTATAAAATTTAGCAATGACTACTTACTTTTCTCTTTAACAAAACAGCTTCTGGAATGCTATGATGAATGATTTTGTACCATATTACGCATAAATTCCTTTTCTCATAAATTTAACACATGTGAAAAATTGCTTCTCACATAACACCTGTTTCATGAAATTGAACGTTATAATTTGGAAAAGCAATTTATTCTAACAAGACATATCATTTCTGTTATTATTTGATAAATATATATATACGCAACCATATATTACAACGTATTTAATTTTCGTAATTTAGTATAAGATTAGAATAATGATATTTTAAAATATTTTTGTATAAGAATATGTTTTTTGTAAAGCCCCACTTAGTAGAATTCAGATACTGTGTAATATAACGATTACAACTCAGTTGAATGAATTTTGTTTACTCTATACAGGGTGCTCCTAAAATATATGTCAAAAATGTAAAGGTAGGTAGAGGGGACCTAAATAAGCATATTTCGTATAGGATTGTGTGTGCGGAATCGAATTTTCTTTTGTTTTTACTTGTCTTTTCAGTTTCCTTTGATTCGTACTGCTTTACAAGCTAGTGATTAAATGTGCCATTACCGCACACACATTCCTATCCTAAATATGCTTATTTATGTCCCTTCTACCTACCTTTACATATTTGACAGATATTTCTGGACCACCCTGTATAAAGTGCTATATGCTGCAATTGCTTTTGGAATTAGTATTTATTGCATGGGTTATTTCACATCAAAATTGGAAAAAAATAAGATTTGTTAATCCCTTATAGTATATAATTGTATGCAAAATTTTATTAATTATTATTATTGGTAAATATCCCAATTACCTGTATCTGGGTAAATCATAAATGTTGCAAAAAAGTATTTAACAGAGTCAGATATATATATATAAGATGGAA